GTTAACAGCTTACGTTGGCACATTAGATGCCAAGCTGTGCTTTTGTTCAAAGTTAAGGTTAAGGTAGTCTCAGCCTCAGACGTCACGCCCACGGAACGTTGGCTAAACGTCTGATGCATATGGTACACTTAACTGGAAACACTTCAGGAATGTCGAAGTCGTCATCTGATTGGTTGAATTTTATCGGATTTCCGGGGGGCGTCAGTGTCGCGTTTATTTTCGGTCCGCCGGGAAACAAAGCGCAGAAGTGTAATTGCGGAAGAAAAACTGTTGAGTTTATGAGTGACAATGAGCATTAATCAAGATCAGCTAAACGTAGTTGTATGTCCCCTCCTATCGATTATGGAAGATCAAGTGAAGTACTTAATTGCGAAGGGGATATCAGCCGCGTTTGTGGGCAAACATGAAACAACAGACGCTGACATCGCAGCTGGCCGATTCAGTATTCATATATGGGCACACTGGATTATAAGGTGCATAAGATACTGCAGAGTCAAACGTTTGACTGCGAGTATTCAATGTGCGGCGGCTCGCTGACAGCTAACGTTACAGCTGGCTGTTTTGAATGAGACGAGCCGGTTACTGTGAACGGGGAGCGCTTTATGAACATAACTGTGACGCACGAGCAGCGCCGGGTACAGTGTGTCTGAGTGAGCGCTCGTGAGCACGTGATTTACACACATAACCTGATTTATACGAGGTTGAACTGGCCGTGTGACAAAGCGGGCATAAGATGGACATGAGCGCGAGTTTGTGGGTGAATTTAATAACGCGGACCGTTGTTAACGAGCGCCTCCGGTGACTGCTGCTGAGTCTGACGGACTTGTTGTTGCACGCCGGTCTGATGTTGTGGGGACATTTCCACGCCCCGAAACGTGACGCTGAATGAAACGAACTGTAATTGGTTGTTTGACATGTCGGTCAAACGGCCTTATGGGCGGGCCTTGGCCAAAGAAAGCTGCTATGAATTCCAGACCTTCAGCCGTCAGTCTGAAGGTCTGGCTACGCGAGACTAAGGTTAAGGTAATTGTCGGCAAAATGGTAAATTCTGTAACGTTATTATGCATAAGGTATAAAATCACCCTGTACATTCCAAATATCTAATTTGGAATGTACCTGTAAGTCCTGTAAAACCTGTAAGTCCAAATATGACTTTCTCGAACTTCTGTCTTCAGTGTTGGTCTGGTTCTAGGTCTATTTCTGTGAAATTGGGAGATGGGCATCATTGGAAACAATTCGAATAAGCGCGCATGATGGACACCGTTCTGCGCGTTTTCCACCAAAATTCCAAATGTTTTATCAGGAGAGAGAGTGACCCTTTGGCGCGGCGATAAAACAATTAACATTCGTAATGTTGATCTCACTGTAAGCAATATTGCCCGTATATTCAAAGTTTGTTCCACTTTTATTTATTAAAAACTTTACTGTATTGGGGTGCAGCTAGAAGCATGTGTTTCACATGCCTGAATAAAATTTAAAGTATCCAAAGAGTAATTAAATCTGAAAAAATTAACAATCTAACTTTGAATATTGACTCATTTACTTGTCAGCTGAGTCAAACTCATTATATGTTACGACTCACCAATTGTCTGGGAAACATACTGTGTGTTTTTGTGAGCCTGTGTTTAGAAGTGAAGGACAATTAGTTAAGGACTAGGAATAGGCGTGTGTGTGTGTGTGTGCACCAGTGATGCGCGGGTCGATGTATCACACCCGACCGACGTTTTCAACCAACCTGACCGCAATTCGGACCACAAAAAAAAGAAAATATTGTATATTGGATTTATGAACTGGGGTGCGGCTGCCTCTCAGAAAATACATAAAACTGAAATTACTGAGCTATAAGCGTTTAAAAGTAGCCTATAAAAATGGTAACGTTACTGGCATTGCTCAGTTCAACGTGTAGGGAAATCGTGCATTTTGTCTCGCGCAGGAAGTTTCTTCAAGCGTTAATAACGCTAAACATTCAAAAGGAAAATAAAGATTTCCCAATTGTAATTGTAGGCTAAGGCTATTTCGCCACGTGGATTCCCAATTGAAGCTGGGCCATTCCACCGAATGGGTGACATTTGCTTGTTGTAACTCTTCAAAAATAAACTTTATTTTTGATCTTTTTTAACATTGAATCTAATACTACACATATTTAACTATTCAAAATTTGTATTGGTCAATCTCGGGCAACTTTATTTATTATTTTACAAGGTTTAAGCAGAATATGGACGAATGTTTTCTCAATCCTGATACCAAAAACCATGTGTCATTTAAAAAGCAAGTTAAGAAGCATGTCAATTAATTCCTTTGTTTTCCCCACAAGAAAGTGTTTATTTTAAAGAAATTGTTGGTTATATATTCAAAAAAATTGATATTTTTGCCAATAAAATCACTATTAAAGCAAGGTGTATTTTGATATAAAAAACACAAAGGCATTTTTTCATTTCAAAGATGGCTGAAGCCTCAAGCTTATAATTTTTTTTAGAATTAATTCATTAAATAATTGTATAAATTATGGGCCAAACAAAAATGATAAAAATAGTGGTTTAATTTAATTTTTTTTAGAAAAAGAAACAAATAGTAACAGGACTGAAGGTAACAGGATTGAGTTTTTAAGCAAAAAGTTATCAAATATATGGCATATGGCCACATAGCAGTGATGCTAATAGCGAGGACACTGAGCCATTTCTAGTGCCTTACCAAAAGTTAATATTTTTAAAATAAAACAATTAAATCTAAGAAAACATTTAGGTAACAGGAATGTATGTTGAGATTGACCTACTCATTCATAGTTACAATTTCATCAAATATACAGTAATGAAAATGAGAGGAGTGACTTATAGTCGGCCCATTGCCTTCAGAAGATCCAGATGATGAAACTTACTGTTGAAAATATGTCTTGTGGAATATTCTATGTTATTCAGCGGGGGAATGTAATAGTGTAACAGGACTGAGTGAAAACCTGGGGACATGACTAAAATGTGTATTTTATCTAAAATATTAAATCAAATGTTTTTTTCTTTTTTCATTTTATAGCAGTTTGGATATAAAGTCACACAACAATGCAAGAAAAATCAGATTTCTGAAGGATTTTAATCATAATATTTCATGGTAAAGTTTAGAGATTGAGAGTTGGGACATGCAGAAAATGCTATTTTTTAGTGTTCTGTGTCGTTTTTGTTAATGTTTTTAGTTATATGTTTTCAATTTGTAGTTAGCTAAATGTGCATGACATTTTGCTTAATAATAAAATGTATTTTTGAGTGCATTTTCATGCAATTTTATATATATAATGTCCTGGGGACAGAAATGTCACCCTTTCGGTGGAATGGCTCAGCTCTCAAAAGCACAAAATGCAGGCATAGAATATCTAAATAAGTCTTTATTAACGCATTTTAGACTAACAAAAACAGTCTGAGTCAAAGACTGAGGCTACAATTTCCATAAATAAATGTTCCCAAATACCGATGAAAGTAAAAGTGAAAACTGAAACACACAGTAAACTTGTTTCCTTCTAACCTTGTTTCTGTATTTGCGGGACTTCCACTCCCCAGTCTTCAGCTTTTGTCTGCCGCCTCCATCTCTAAATTACCTCCAGAGCTCGTGCGTCATCCTCGCGGCAGTTATTTGGCCGATAAAGTCTAGTGTAGGCCTATGTATTTCTTCGAATACTATGTATTTCTTCTAGTACTATATAAATTACAACGGTTTAATTGGCATCATTATTTGAAATTACGACCCGACTAGAAATTACGACCCGACTAGAAATTAATGCATTTAATTAAAAATCACTTTGCCATGGAGAACGACAGAACATGCTTGAAACCTTCACCACGAATAGAACTCTGCCATTGGATCGATTTCGTGCCGACTTTACAACTGCATGGATAAAATTTATTTTTAATGACGTTCCAGCTGATGAGGTAAAACATTGTCCGTCTGTTCGCTTAATTCCACTGAGGATTGTTTTGAAAACAAGACTGGATTTGCAGACCGATTAAAGCTGCGTTCACACTACACATGACCAAGCGACACGATACCATTCATTTTCAATGGTGAGCGGGCGACTTCCAGCGATACGCGTGGTCGCGACTGGATGGGCCATGTCTGACGATGCGACAAAGTTGAGAAATTTTTAGCTTTATGCAAATGAAGAGCGATTTTTGCAAGCAACAACCAATAGGAGTGAAGTCAGTGGAGTGCGTCACTCTTCAGTGCTGAGTCTGACCGAAGCAAATTGAACGAGAAGCTCATTTTAGCAGCCAGAAACTCTCCTATAATGGATGATATCTCCGTGTACATACAGTGATGTTCACCGTACTGACTCCGTGACTGAATTTCGGGAACCCAGATAGATCGGTATTTGCCCGTTTGCTGCAGTTAAATAGCAGCGATGGCAAAGAGCACTCACTGTTTCTCGTTCATTTTTAATATTATGCATATTATGTACTGATTCCATTTTATTTAGACTTTTCCTTCCAAAATATTTGTTTGTAGCGGCAATAAAACGTATTTGTTGTCTAACAGAGTAACATCCGTGAATGTCACTCATGTCACAAACATTACTGCATCCAAGAACATGGTTGTGTCACAGAAGTGAAGCTTTCATTTTTATTAGGCTCTTTCTCTGCAAACAGCAACATCTCCTCAAACCTTACAAAACAGCAACAGTTTTCCACAAGGAAATATAACTGTTAGATAGCAATCAACATCAAAATAACAAAGCATAAAAAATTATAAAACAAAATAATATAGTTGTGGCTGCAGTTAAATTACCCTTAAATCAGAGGGTTCTCAAACTTACCAAAACACTGGAAATCCCCCAAATACTCAGATAAACCTCAAACTCTGTTTTTAAATTCAGCTCTAGAATTTAACTTTGACGTCAATAATATATGTTCATAATTTGTATGTTAATTTCTATGGACTTCTGTGTTTTTAGCGTTTGAACTGTACTTTTATTTTGGTGCGGTGATGTGACGTCATAATGCTGCGTCGCGCTCCTACATCTGTTGTGATTCGGCTGAAGAAAGGTTCGTCTTTTTAAACATTTAAAGAGTTTAAATGGTTCAATTACTTTTTTAGTTTTTTTTTTTACAAGCGATGTAAAAAATAATAATTATGTATTATTGAATGTAACATGGTAATTCTTTATCCATCTTTAACGAACGTTATTTTTGTGAATAAAGCACATCCACAAACAAGTAACAGAAAAGATCCGTCTCATTTCAATCCCTATATCGGGAATCAGTTCATTATAAACACAAGTTGATCACTGATAATTAGTTTTAAGAGAAGCGAACTCCGAGTCAATTAAACCAAATGTTTTGCAAAATGATTCATGTTTAAAGTGCTCAAATCACCTCAAACACGGACGACTTCTGCTGGTCAAACCGTGTAAATACAACGAGAACAACAAACACAAACTGGTGTAATGATAACTTTTGCTAAGTGTTATCTATTAAATGTAATTTAAAAGTTATTAAATACCAAATATAAATCGGAACTAAATATTAATTGTCTGTTATAATGCTTTGTCTAAGTAGGTGAATTAAGTCCATTAACTCTCTCTGACTGACTCTCTCACCAGTGAACTGAAACTAGAGCTTATTTAGACGCTCTCAGAGATTTAGTTTTGAGTGTTTTACTTTTTTTCCCCTCAAGATGGCGTTTATTAAAGATGAGAATGAAGACGTGAAGATTGAAGAAACGTTCGGAGTGAAACTTGAAGAAACTGAGGAACACACAGGTTGGTTTCATTCTCAAACCTGAACTCAGTCATTTGATCCTTATTAAAATGTCTAGCTCTACAGAAATGAATAGCAATGTTTCCACTGTCGGGTCAATGTGAGCCAAGGCTTTAAACTGTAAAAGTCTCAGACCTGCAGCACTGAGTCCAAACCATGCTGTGTTTCTGCCGTCGGACCAGAAACTCCACAACGCTTCACTAAAACACACCTCTCTGAAACAACGTCACACAAACCCTTCATTTCACCAACAAATGGAAGTTTTATCAGGAAACAAATCACAAAGAAATCACTGGAAACGAGAGATCCCAAAAAAACCATGATAAAAGTGCCCATTTGTGAGCATTTTTGTTGTTTGCCTAAAAATGTAAAACCCAAGCATCGATGTTTTACACTAATAAGTGATACATTGACCATAATAAATGGATTTATGCAAAGATTATGCTTTAGACACAGAAAGTTTGTCTTATTTGAGTCTTTTCACGAAACTGGGATGATTTGGACTTACACATTTTTAGATTTTTTACCAATATACACTACCGGTCAAAAGTTTTAGATCAGTAAGATTTTTTTTGAAGTTTTTGAATGAAGTCTCTTCTGCTCACCAAGGCTGCTTTATTTGCTGAAAAAAAAAATTACAAACAGTAATATTGTGAAATATTATGACAATTTAAAATGACTGTTTTCCATTTTTATATATTTTAAAATGTAATTTGAAAGCTGAATTTTCAACATCATTACTGTTGCTGATTACACATCAGTTTTCAGTGTCACATGATCCTTCAGAAATCATTCTAATATGCTGATTTTATGCTCAAAAAACAAATTATTATTTTCAATGTTGAAAACAGTCGTGTGCCATTTCCCCCTAAATTCTATGATGAATAGAAAGTTCAAAAGAACAGCATTTATTTAAAATATAATCTTTTCTAACGTTATAAATGCCTTTACTGTAACTTTTGATCAATTTAAAGGGTTAGTTCACCCAAAAATAAAAATTAAGTCATTAATTACTCACCCCCATGCTGTACCAACCCCGTAAGACCTTCGTTCATCTTCGAAACACAAATAAAGATATTTTTGATTGAATCTGAGAGCTGGATCAGTCCTACATAGACTGCCTAAGGGACTGGCTCTTGACGGCCCAGAAAGTCATTAAAGAAAAGGTTTAAATATTCCATGTGCCTACAGCGGCTCAATTATAAGTTTATCAAGCGACAAGACTACTTTTTGTGCGAAAAAAACATAAATAACGACTTCATTCCACTATTCCATTACTTCCTTATGGGCGCATGCGCGAGAACTGAGACGAGGACGTTCTCCTTCGTCTACTTCTTGTTACCGGCTGCTCACCGCTTAGGAGTTTTACCACCACCTACCGTATAAGATGATGTGCTGATATAGCTGGAAGCGCAAAACTTTCTGTTTACAAGCAGAGGAAGATGCGCGCTGTACATATGCTTTTCAATTTGCGTATTTTCCGCACTATAAGGTGCACTTAAAAGCCTTTAATCTTCTCAAAAAACGACAGTGTTCCCTATAATCCGGAGCGCCTTATATATGGATCATCATCTTATACGGTAGGTGGCGGTAAAACTCCTAAGTGGTGAGCAGCCGGTAACAAAAAGTAGACGAATGAGAACGTCCTCGTCTCAGTTCTCGCGCAGATCTGGTTGCAGTTTCGCTTGTCGCCAGAGGGGGCGTAGTTCTGCAAAAACTCAGATACTTGCGTTTAGCTCCTTTAAGCTGTCCAAAAGAAAGGGGTAGTCTTTGTTGCAGAAAGATCTAATAGCACTTTGAAGGAAGATATAGCCATGACTGGATGCCAAAAACTGGTTATTTGAACAAACAAACAAACAATGAGGGTTAAATCTTGACTGATATTGTTCTCAAATACCCTTACTCTGCAAAACTGAACATAGTCGAGAGGCCAAAATTTCTTTTATATTTTAGACATAATTGTTGGTTTGAGGCCTGTCTATAATTGAACAGTTCTTGGGCTTTGGGTAAGGGGTTTGATAACTACCAGTTTGAAAGTATTTGTGACGTGTCCTAAACAAATTAAAGGGTAAGGAAAATTGGCAAGAGGTTCAGAGATTACAGATATCAACCCTTTCAGTTGCATGTCATTAAACTGGTGTTAACTTGCATTTGTCTCTTTTCTCCTTAGACCCGATGCCACTCGAAGAGGATAGGGAAGTACTGAATGAAATGGAGGAGAGAGATCAGGATGAGAAACATCATGATTCAACAACTGGAGAAAAACGGTTTAGTTGTTCACAGACTGAGAAATATTCCTCACAAAAAACAAACCAACAAACAGAAACTATAAGCGATTTCATCTGCCCTCATTGTGGAAAGAGTTTCACTAAAAAAGGAACCCTTAAAGCCCACATGAACATTCACACTGAAAAGAAGGCTTTCACCTGCCAACACTGTGGGAAGAGTTTCACTAGAAAGGGAACCCTTAAAGACCACATGAACATTCACACTGAAGAGAAGCCGTTCACCTGCCAACACTGTGGGAAGAGTTTCACTAGAAAAGGAATCCTTAAAGCCCACATGAACATTCACACTGAAGAGAAGGCTTTCACCTGCCCTCAGTGTGGAAAGAGTTTCACTACGAAAGGAATCCTTAAAGACCACATGATAGTTCACAGCAAAGAGAAGCCGTTCACCTGCCCTCAGTGTGGAAACAGTTTCAATCAAAAAGGAAGCTTTAACAGGCACATGATAATTCACACTGGAGAGAAGCCTTACATCTGCAAACTGTGTGGAAAGAGTTTCAGATTTACAGGAAATCTTCAGATGCATATAAGAGTTCACACTGAAGAGAAGCCTTTCACCTGCCCTCAGTGTGGAAAGAGTTTCAGATACAAAGGAAACTTCCAGATGCATATAAGAGTTCACACTGGAGAGAAGCCTTACACGTGTCTTCAGTGTGAAATGTGTTTCACGTATAAAAAGGATCTGAAGCGTCATTTGAAAACTCATTCTGGAATTGAGTGTTCCTCAATCTGGCAAGAAGTTTAGAAAAAGAAGCAATTTCAATTTGTGCATTCACCCTGGAAGAAGGAAATTTAAGTCCCAAACCATTGAAGAAAAATGTCCAACTCTCTGTGTTTTCACTGTTATACTGTAGGGGGTGCTATGACGACATCTGAGCAAGTACTGAATCTCTGGATCAAAACACAGGCGAAGAAGAAGGAGAAACAAGCGAAAGTAAAATAACACGATCAACAGCGTAGAAATTGTCATGACCTGGCTCTGAACCCATGACGAAAATAGAAGGACGCCGTTTTAAAGGACAACTCCGGCGCAAAATGAACCTTTAGTCAAATTACACATTGTTACCTAGTCAACCGTTATCTGAGATTTGTTTTCATGATTGCCGAATGTAAATAGTTTTATCTATAAAAACAGTTTAGCCTATAACGCTAGTATATAGGGCATAGAGTAATGACAAATAAAAATCGCTTGTTATTACCACTAACAAGGCTCAAAATAGCCCCACAGTAACACGACAGCATAACAAGGGTCCCTACATTCAAACCAAAGCATCCCAGAACTTTGTCAGTGTCCATACAGTTTAATAAGAAGATATTTTATACACACAGTCAACTTCGCGAATACAGGAAGAAGCCATCTTTGAAAAATAGTCTCTACCAGTCGATCTACGAACGCCGATCCAAGTGCGCTGGTGAGATGTGAATAAGGTGATAATGTGAGCGCGAACAGTAGGCTACGTGTACTTATTGAAGAGAAGTAAACAGTTTGTGTTTCTTTTGGAAACAACGGACCATATGAGATTCTGCACAGTTCAGCGCACTTGGATCGGCAGCTGGCTACACGATGGACGCGTGGGAGAAGTGGCGGGTCGTGTGTCTGGCGGCTCTTTCCGTGGAGGACGCTGAAGATATCTACCTATTCGGAACCATGATAACAGGTCTTCTGCTGATTGGATTAGGCATTGCCCTGGTTTATCAAGGAGTAAAAAAGACATTGACAGCTGTCCAAAGCCTCACAAGGCTGCCCGTCATGATTGAAGCGGTGGGCAGAGCTGTCAGCACTGGGACTGTGTCTAGAATATGGATAATATGGAACCAGAATATGGATAACATCATGGAGAAGCTTTCAGCTTTGCAGAAGGATTTGGATCGTTTAGGAGACCAAAGACAATGAGAATTAGCCGTGTAAATTGAATGCGGCTTTTCGCCCCAAGACCAAACAATTCCAATCTTATCTGTTTTTCGGCCGCCCTCAACCAGCACTGGCCTTGGCCAAGGCCGCTGTTGGGACAACAACTCCCCCGGAAGAGCACTGCAGTGAGCCGCTCTCGCGTTCCTTCCCCGATTCCCCAGGACACCTAATGATTGTTGACTTTGTCTGGGACATGATCAAGGTTTTCTCCACGACAACCTGCTGTGTATCGCTATGACATCTGCGGACTTGAGACACCTAGATTATGATGCCAGGCATAGCGACTCTCCAGGCCTACACATACACGAACTCTTACACATACATACAGATATGCATTCACCAGCCCCACACCCCATCCCTCGCCTTCGCCGCTTTTCACCCCCCAGTCTGACAGGCGGGTCTGTGACCAGCGCCGAGAATGGCTGCAGGACCGGATGGCTGCTTGCCTGTGCTGGTTCACCTCCACCCCCCACTCCCGTACCCTGTTGCAAGTCTTGTCTGTTCATTTTGTAGAGTGTACTGATTATGTGCCAATGTTGCTGAGGTGTTTTTTTTACTGTTCCCAAACTGTACTCCTTACAGGAGCATAGTATGGGGGTTAAAAGGGTTGCCTTTTTTTCTCCTCACCTCTCCTCATGTTATGCTGTATTTCTTCCTCAATGCTCTGTCTTCCTGTCCTGTCTACCCCCTTGTTTTTATTGTATGTATGTCTGATGGATAGGTTGATGGCTAATTTCACTGGTACTTGTGACTACGTGACAATAAAGGCTACTACTACTACTACTACTACTACAGTTACCACCTCTCCCCAGATCCGTAATCTTGGTGTCATTTTTGTCTAGTTTGGTGTCAAGTTTTAGTCTGCAATCAACCAAGGGGGTAATCCATCGACCGGACGTTGAAGCCTCACGGGAGCTGCCATCCTGTAGCAGAACTTCACTTGCGTTAGCATTTCCATTGATTCCTATTCATTTTGGCGTCACTTTGACAGCGAATAACTTTACAAAAGGAATGTTTAGAAATGTAAACTGATATTACCTACTTACACTCTATAGTGACAAAGTCAAGTCACCTTTATTTATATACAGCACTTTTTACATTACAGCCCGTCGTCTATCTTTGGAACGAGAATAACGGCTGTAAAAGCCCGACTCACTTAGGGACGGGGAGAACGTCGCAACGCCTCATTTCATCAGAAGTTTTGACACTGCGCAAAGTCTCTATCAATGTGTGGAATCGTAGGGGCCAGTGTCCGTCCTAGCGTCCATGCGCTTCAGCTGCTGGGCGGGGCTGAGGAGCTTGTGGCACAGGGCTTGGCTTGCCAAGGAGGCGGCGTTCTGTAAGGGCGCCTTGAAACCTAACTTGAGCACTTTGGCAAATAGTGTTGCATGGCTTGTGATGACTTCTGTGCCTCAGTAAACCTCTCAGAGAAACCCTTGAACGCTGGCCAGAAGAGGCCCTGTTGGAGATAGGCCTGTCCAGGAAAGCTTTTCTGTCAACATTCTTAAGTTTGGTCAAGTTCAGCCAAAGATGCTGCTCTGACACAATAAGGCTAGCTATCCCCCTGCAGATAGCCTGGGCAGTTGATTTAGTGGCTCGCAGAGCTAAATCCGTAGCGCTGTACAGATTCCCAAACGCCTCTGGATCTGGTCCAGCCATGCCATAGTACGGAGGAGTCTGGCCAGATACGCTTGTAGAATGTCCATGGTATTCATGGTATTCAACAGCAAGTAACTTTTCCTCTGGTAAACCTGTCGGCCTACAGATCGGAAGCGGAATTGTCCTCATTAGAACTACAGAAACCCAACCCGATCTAGCAATCTTACATAACGTGGATATACAGGATAAAAGACCGCAAAGAGGTGGCATTAGTGCATTTCACCATGTCATGACTTGATGAACCACTGAAACGATTTTGGAATCATTTTAAGGTAAAAAAAATCCTACTTAGTGTTGCTTTAATCGGGCTTGGTCTCATGTGTGAGGGCACAGATTAGTTCAGCTTTGACGCTCACTCTGGCTCTGCCACAGCTGGCCTGAGACTGAAGGGTGGGTTTTGTATCAAGCTCGGCCATTCCTCTTAATCAGACGCGGTAAGCGAAAGGCTGTCGTCGCCATCTTCCCCTGACAGAAGGGCCAGGTGCGTGAGCATCAACTGTTCAGACGAGGATCTGACATGGAACAGATTTAAAAAGTCATGTTAAACCTTTCATTTGATTATTTTTAGCAGAAATCTGATTTAACCCAAGCTCAGGTTTGAACAGAACCTTTATTTGATTCACAAACAAATTTTTTTTGTGACATTTTAAATTCCACGCAAACAAAAATAGTCTCAAGTCTACATGTTTTCATTTTTTATTCAAGTGATCCCAGAAAAAAAAAATAAATAAAAAAAAAACTTGCCAGCCACCGCCAGCATTTTTGATAATTTTCACAAAAGTTTCATGGCCCCCAGAATATTTTGTTGTTCAAATATCTGAAGAAAAAAAAAGTTTTTTGTTCTATACATTCCTTTATCAACACTTGAATGTAACTCTCATAAAAAAAAGCTAATTATTTTTGCCAAAAAACTGAAAAATCACTTTTTTGTCAAAGACTACATCCAGATTGGTTTCAAAATGACCAAAACATTGATTGATCGAGTCCATTAACACCCCTAAAGCCTCACAGTTCTATAGCTCGTCCTGGGTCAACATTTCATTCAGTTACATTAGGCAGTTTTGATTTTGTGATGGCCATGCATCTGGCCTGTCTTCCCTGTGTCTGGCTTGTTCTGTGTTGCAGGCTATGGTTTATCAGTGAGATTGGGGACACCTGGGCCCAGGTGTTTTACGCCTTTATAAACCTACCACTCTACTTGTTCCAGAGGAGCCCTTATCTCCCTTGCACTACTTGTTTGGCTCATGCAACACCCCACAGCATACATTTCATTTATCCAAACACGCACCTCATCTTTCTGACTTTACTGATATAGTTGTATTATGTTGTTAGTTGCTGTATTGGTTTCTTTTAAACTTAATTTGTTTAGTTTAAAGGTGCCATCTGTCAAAAAAAAAAATCAAATCATACTCCATATTCCATACCAGATGGGGGCAGTATACCTCCAGAGAGTGAGCTGTGCCGCAGCCGAGTGCACTCTCACGTCTTCAAACAACACGAGTGAGTGCTGTCTTGCTCTCATTCCCTCGCGCATATTAATCTAATCAATTGACACGATAGTAAAAGGTTGGAAGACCGCAGTTTCACGTGGAGCATTTGAAGATTTTTACAGATTAGAGACTCAATGAACAACATCTCAACACTAAATTATAAAGGCCGTCTCATAGACGCCTGTCTCAAATACAAGCCGGTGCATTTCGACAATATGGGAAAATAAAAGTCCGGGCTATTAATTGAAGTATTACGGTATTCGTTTTGTTCATATTACATTTTTATTGTTAGTTTGAATTAATTTGACAGAGAGCATTCGCTGATGTTGACCAAGCTAGCGCCATTCAGAGCTGCCAACTCTCACGAATTCACCGTGAGACACGCAATTGACACTTTCACACGTTCTCACGTCACACATCAATTTTGTCACGCACAGAAAAGGACACGGAGAACGACAGACTAGACAGAGGAGGTTAGTTATGATATATATAAAAATCTCAACTCTCAGATTCTGTCAATTTTATTACGTAATTCAAACAATAAATACCGCTTTGGCTCTTGTAAATGTTACACGACAGATCCCTAGCGCACGTGAACCGATCACCTCTACTAGCTAATGGTAAAAGAACACGAACACTGTTGAAAGATACAGTATGTTACAACTTACCAAAATGTATTCCTCATGCATAATATCGACCAATCATTTTCTGAACTCTTCCCTGAAATGACATGTAGTAGTGGGCTGTACTTTCCACATGATTGACATCAGGTTCAAGTACGCCCACAAGCCGGCGCGAGTTACTCGTGTATTGCAGTTTGGCTGGTGGTTATGTTGCCCGCCCGCATACCGCCTCCCATGGCCGAAACTGGTATTTAGACACCTGCCGGGCCGGGGCTAGTAATTTAGCATGCTAATTCAGGTTAATATCTCTGCAGCACTATAAGTTGTCATTTTATAATGACATCATCAACCTTATTTCTTCTCATTCTTTTGATGTGTGTAGCTCATTTTTGGGATATTTTAACCTCAATTCTTCTAACACATGGCACCTTTAAAACTGCGTCCTTCTATTTTCGTCATGGCTTCAGAGCCAGGTCATGACAATTTCTACGCTGTTGATAGTGTTATTTTACTTTCGCTTGTTTCTCCTTCATCGCCTGTGTTTTTGATCCAGAGATTCAGTACTTGCTCAGATGTCGTCATAGCGCCCCCTACAGTATAAAAGGTAAAAATACGGAAAGTTGGACATTTTTCTTCAATGGTGGAGTTTAATTTCCTACTTCCAGAGTGAATGCACAAATAAATGACTTTGCTTCTTTTTCTAAACTTCTTGCCAGATTGAAGAACACTCAATTCCAGAATGAGTTTCCAAATGACGCTTCAGGTCCCTTTTATACGTGAAACATATTTCACACTGAAGACATGTGTAAGGCTTCTCTCCAGTGTGAACTCTTATATGTGTTTGAAGGTTTCCTTTGTATCTGAAACTCTTTCCACACTGAGGGCAGGTGAAAGGCTTCTCTCCAGTGTGAACTCTTATATGAACCTCAAGGTTTGTTTTGTTTGAGCAAGTCTTTCCACAGTGATAGCACATGAAAGGCTTCTCTCCGGTGTGAGTTATTGTGTGCGCCGTAAGATGATTTATATCTGTGAAACTCATTCCACACTGATGACATATACAACGGTCTTCTCTTGAATGAGTCCTCAGGTGCTTTTTAAGGTTTACTTTAGCTATGAAACTCTTTCCACACTGATCACATGTGAACGGCTTCTCTCCAGTGTGACTGATCACGTGATACCTCAGGTTTAGTGCTGTTGTGAAACTCTTTCCACACAGTTTGCAGATGTAAGGCTTCTCTCCAGTGTGAATTCTCATGTGCCTGTTAAAGCTTCCTTTTTGAGTGAAACTGTTTCCACACTGAGGGCAGGTGAACGGCTTCTCTTTGCTGTGAACCATCATGTGGTCTTTAAGGATTCTTTTCGTAGAGAAACTCTTCCCACAGTGTTGGCAGGTGAACGGCTTCCCTCCAGTGTGAATGTTCATGTGGTCTTTAAGGGTTCCCTTTCTAGTGAAACTCTTCCCACAGTGTTGGCAGGTGAAAGCCTTCTCTCCAGTGTGAATGTTCATGTGGGCTTTAAGGGTTCCTATTTTAGTGAAACTCTTTCCACACTGAGGGCAGATGAAATAACTTATAGTTTCTGTTTGTTGGTTTGTTTTTTGTGAGGAATATTTCTCAGTCTGTGAACAACTAAACCGTTTTTCTCCAGTTGTCGAATCATGATGTTTCTCATCCTGATCTCTCTCCTCTATTTCATTCAGTACTTCCCTATCCTCTTTGAGTGGCATCGGGTCTAAAGAGAAAAGAGACAAATGCAAGTTAACACCAGTTTAATGACATGCAACTGAAAGGGTTGCTATCTGTAATCTCTGAACCTCTTGCCAATTTTCCTTACCCTTTAATTTGTTTAGGACACGTCACAAATACTTTCAAACTGGTAGTTATCAAACCCCTTACCCAAAGCCCAAGAACTGTTCAATTATAGACAGGCCTCAAACCAACAATTATGTCTAAAATATAAAAGAAATATCGGCCTCTAGACTATGTTCACTTTTGCAGAGAAAGGGTATTTGAGAACAATATCAGTCAGGATTTAACCATCATTGTTTGTTTCAAATTTATTAACAAAAATAACCAGTTTTTGGCATCCAGTCATGGCTATATCTTCCTTCAAAGTGTATTAGATCTTTCTGCAACAAAGACTACCATTTTCTTTTGAACAGCTTAATAATAATAATAATAATTAATAATAGGAAAAGGAAAAAAAATGTCCAGGGTGCTCAAGGAGTTCAAAAGCAGTTGAAGGTGCTCTTTGGGATCGGGAATTCAGGAAATCCAAGGCACTCTTCTTAGGAATTAATAAAAAATAAAAACTTTTTTGACTGGCTAATTCATAATAGAAAATTTTAAAAACATCCCACAGAGATAAATATGTTGAAGAAGCCTTACGACAACTCAACAATCAAGACCACCATCAACGGCTGCGGTCTAATCCGATTCACAGTTCTGTTGCTCACAGCGAAGGATACTGGGTGGATTTCAAAACAGGAGCATGATTTCCTCCTATCTAGGCTTGGGAACCGGTTCCAAACGTTCCGATCCATCGGAATTGTACACGTCCACAAGTTAACGATTCCGAATGTTCCGTTCCATCCATTCCCGCGTCGCAGCATGACGTTACAGTATCATCCATTCCCAAAGATTTAAATAACATCCATGGCATACCAGGGGTGCACTATATTTGACAGCCTGCACTCCACAAACAATGGCACGCTTATACGTTTTATCAAAACATTAATGCTAGATAAGAAAGTACACCTCGAAACTTCCCGAACTCTTAAAAAGTACAACCTCACCAGCAGGGACTTTCTGGGGGGGGATTTTTACCTGGAACTTCATTTAGACCCTGGTTCCTGTGGTGTAAACACACCGAGTACCACCCCAAAGTTCCTGGGGAAGTTCCTGCGGTGGAGTGCTCTCTTAAAAGAAGGTTTGTAATTTTTTTTTTCAGTTCCCAACTGCAAAGCACTGAGAGCCATGGAGGAGCTGTTTGAAGAGGAGGAACAAACGTCGCATTCAACTGTCCCGAAGCAAGTAGATTTGGAAGTGCAAATCTACAGCAGCCTCAGGTGACCCTGTACTCTGGTGGTGGGGAAAGAGAGGCAGTCTGCCCCTACTGTCTGCTTTAGCAGAGGAGTATTTGTGTGTTCTGGGATCTTCCACTCCTACAGAGCGGGTGTTCTCCACAGCGGGAGACACAATCAGCCTGGAGAGATCACGGATCCTCCCAGAAAAAGCAGACATGCTTGTTTTTCTGCACAAGAACTGCTAGAAATGTTTGAATGTTAAATCATTAATTGATTTTTTTGTGAACACAATAAAAGTCAAAGTTGATGAATTTTTTTTTTGAAGTGGATCAAAATTTTGTAATGGCCGATAATCACATTTTATGACTATATAACTTGGCCGATCTCAGTAACCGAAAAACAATGAAAAATTAGCTATTTGCCATGCATGTTACAAAGAAATCTCACATGGAGGAGCATTGTAACAAACATTTAATACGACGAACCTAGGGATGTAACAATTCACTCGCAACCGGTTGAAAATAGAAAAAAATGTGTGACGAATCAAGTCGGTTGAAATGTTAAACGAATCGCGATTGACGTTTTGAACAGCAGGGGCGTTTAATGAATAGCCTACGTGAAGCTGTGAACCTCGCTTTACAGGCACAATAGCAGCGAGCACACACTAATAGCAGCGAGCACACACTGGCGCGAACATAGCAAGTGTTTTCACTTCATTCCTAAGGAACTTGAGCTTGTGTGAGCACTCATTTAGTAGCACTGATCACTTTGAGGGGGGGATAAAAATAATTAAGCAGAGGCAGGGACACACTGACCAGAAAGGGGGAAATCCCACGCATCCCCCCCGGCAAATCGCACCCTGTTGATAACATATATGATAACATATATTCCTTTGGGAAGCTTCTTATAAATAAATGTTCCCTGAAGCAAACCCGGCGGCTTCAAAGCTGCATCTATATACATTAGAGCTGCAACAACTAATCAATAAAATCGATTATAATCGATTATGAAAATCGTTGTAAATGAATGTCATTCTCGATTAGTTGGTTTGATTACATCACAGGGATTGTTTACTGGTAGGGATGTAAAGATTCACTCGCAACCGGTTGAAACTCAATAAAAATGTGTGACGATTCAAGTCGGTTGAAATGTTAAACGAATCGCGATTCACGTTTTGAACAGCAGGGGTATTTAAAGGGATACTCCACCGGGTTTTCATATTAAACTATGTTATTCCCTTAACTAAGACGAGCTGATGCATACCTCTCTCGTGCGTGCACTCTATCGCTCTGTATTGCCGCAAAACTATGTTAGCACTTAGCTTAGCCCAGTGCATTAAATATGGGCCAGAAAGAGAAGCGACCAAACACTTCCTCGTTTTCCCTATTTAAACACAGTTACTCGATTAGTGTAACTCGACCTAGGCTGGTGACACAAAATAAAACGTTGTGTTTTTCTACGCGTTTAAAATTGATGACTACATTGTATGGCGGAATATCATAAAAAAGTGCTTTAGAGCACTTCAACTTGGCGCAATAATACCTTCACTCGTGAAAAGTCCTCTTACCGGCTCCCGCTTTGTCGCATGTCACGTTGGCTGCATTGACGGAAATAAGAGGGAGGGGGAGAGCGAGGAAGCGGGAGCCAGTAAGAGGACTTTTCACGAGTGAAGGTATTATTGCGCCAAGTTGAAGCGCTCTAAAGCACTTTTTATGGTATTCCACCATACAATGTAGTCATCAATTTTAAACGCTTAGAAAAACACAACGTTTTATTTTGTGTCACCAGCCTAGGTCGAGTTACACTAATCGAGTAACTGTGTTTAAATAGGGAAAACGAGGAAGTGTTTGGTCGCTTCTCTTTCTGGCCTGTATTTAATGCACTGGGCTAAGCTAAGTGCTAACATAGTTTTGCGGCAATACAGAGCGATAGAGTGCACGCACGAGAGAGGTATGCATCAGCTCGTCTTAGTTAACGGAATAACAGTTTAATATGAAAACCCGGTGGAGTATCCCTTTAATGAATAGCCTACGTGAAGCTGTGAACCTCGCTTTACAGGCACAATAGCAGCGAGCACACAATGGTGCGAACCTAGCGAGTGTTTTCACTTCATTCCTAAGGAACTTGAGCTTGTGTGAGCACTCATTGTAATGAACTGAAAACGCTTGGTCTGCTCCGCTCGCGCCACGTGTTTGCCATAGACTTTGTGCACACGCTGTCAAACACATGGTGACGGCAAGCATAGATGTTGACTCAATCAAATCGGAGCTGTGCCGCCATTCTGACTCTTCGTAGACTAATAATAATCACCATCGTGAGAAGCACATCACCTCCGTTTTCACGTAAAAGTCATTACGACAAGTGTATGAGAGCTACGGAGATCACAAGGTGCGTCAGTGTTTCCATGGCAACAATGTGTTGTATTTATTTTACTATCTCTTTCTCTAAAAGTGTACATGGATTTATTTATTTTTTTTAAATAATTTGTTGATGGTTATGGCATATTTTGCTAAATGTGTTCTGTATTTTTTTAACTCTTTCAAATTATGACAAAATTAAAATCTTTCCTTTATTGCAATGTATATTTATCCTGTCAATGTGTTAGGCATACTAATTTTACAGTCTTTTACTTAGTGTGCGAAGGTACCATTGTCCAGCCTCTTGACCAAACAGACAGAAACAACCTTGAAGGGAATATTTTTTTCAATATAGTTTTATTATTTTGACAAATATATTTCAAAATGAAACAGAAAGGTGCAGCATTTTGTCTGAGAAATAATAAAATAGACACTTTTTCATTTTTAATTTGTCTTAAATCTCATTTGTTAAAAAAATCGTGAGAAAATCGTATTGTGAAAACGGTATTGTGAATCGTATCGCATCGTGAGTCGAGTGAATCGTTACATCCCTAGACGAACCTGATTCAGCACTTAAGGACGAGCCACTGCGAGACGTATGACGAACACAAAAAACTGGCACTGCAAAAAGGGCAGCACGAGTCTACCTTAGTGCTCCACCGACGAGTGTTGATAGTGTGTGTCCATCCTCTCTCTATCATTGGACAATGTTTAATTAAACCTAATGAGTGAGTCACAATTTTTGAAAATTCAAGTTCAATTGTGATTTAATTTTAGAATAACGAGTAGGTTGTGCGATAATTGTCTTTAAAGGGTAACTAAACCCCTGGTCAGAGCCTGACTCCACCCACTAGCAATATTTGAAAAATGCTGAAAAAATGGGCGGGGCCAGGGGGCGTGCACCTGAGACCCGCCGTGAGTGACAGCTGCTGTCAGACTCTAAAATAGAGAGAGACTGGAGTGACGCAAGTAGCTGCCTTTGCAACAGAGCGGCCATTTGAAGTCGAGGACTTTTCTCCCTCACCTTCACCTTCACCTGAAGTGGATGAGGGTGAATTGGGCCAAATCCATTCGAGCCACTGGCTCAAACTGCGGTCTTAACTCACGCATCGCGACCGGCATCTGATGAGTTTTGTCGTCGAGTTGATCTCAATAGCGCACGCTCTGTGGGCATGTATTCATATTGATATTCTGCCGCTATGTGAAAAAATCCAGCAAAATGCACCGGCTCGTTTGTCGACCCCAGAGGATTAACTTTATCCTAACCATAAATTGTGATTAAAATATCCATGATCACTCACATCAAGACGCCGCTGCGGTGGAGGAGTCCATGCAGGATGAGCAGTGTTTGGCACTGCGTGTGGAGAAGCCCATGTCCACCTCTATTCCGTTACTATCCTGATCACTGTACTAAACACTGATAAATCTATGCTAACTTGAAGCTATCCTAACTGTACTATGCTACTAGCTACACAAAATAATCTAAATTATCTATATAATGCTATGCTAAATAGATGCAACAATACTCTATCCTGATCGTTTTCAAAAATAATCTAAATAACTATATAAATGCTATGCTAACTAGATGCTAATATATGCTATCCTGATCGTTTTCAATATTCATAAATCCAACTCCTGACTCGCTACAGTAGTTTTGACGGAACCGGATGCTTTTATACCAGGGGTTGCCAAGGGCGTGGTGAGCTCGCACCAAGGGCGTGACAGAGTGGCGTCAAAGTACCCCTACTGCAGGAGCTTTCCGTTTAACCTGAAGAGGGCAGCACTCAGACGTTTTTACACCATATATTTGAAAATCAAAACACTTTATAAAATGTACTCAAATCAATGAACAGCATTTATGAAGCTCCATTCTTACAGATCACTAACTAAAAAAAGTTGTTTTGGTGTTTAGTTACCCTTTAAAAAATCCCCATGTTTTTGGTTCTGATGCGGCGGCGACGCGTTCTTGTAATCAGAGGGTGAGCAATATTTTTATTTTGTACAGAGAGTAGCTCATATATTGTCCATAATGGGGTTGAAGACAAACAGTGCCCATATCTTAAAATATTAACCAATAATAATAGGGATTTGATCCCTGAGGTGGGAAAATATGTTGTTGTTTTTTTTTTGTCTGGAAGTTAAATAATACAGAAATTAAGTTATGTAAGTTAAATTTAAGTAATTTAGCTTAGAACTTAAGTAATGGAAGTTAAATTTTACTACAGAAAAGTAATGTATATATATATATATAGGTAAAAAATCTAAAAATGTGTAGGCTAAGTCCAAATCATACCGGTTTTGTTTAGCGACTCAAATAAGACAAACTTTCTGTGTCTAAAGCATAATCTTTACATAAATCCATTTGTTATGGTCAATGTATCACTTATTAGTGTAAAACATCGATGCTTGGGTTTTACTTTTTAGGCAAACAACAAAAATGCTCACAAATGGGCACTTTTATCATGGTTTTTTTGGGATCTCTCTTGTTTCCAGTGATTTCTTTGTGATTTGTTTCCTGATAAAACTAACATTTGTTGGTGAAATGAAGGGTTTGTGTGACGTTGTTTCAGATTGATGTGTTTTAGTGAAGCGTTGCAGAGCTTCTGAGACTTCTATCGTTTAAAGCCTTGGCTCACACTGACCCGGCAGTGGAAACATTGCTATTCATTTCTGTAGAGCTGGACATTTTAATAAGGATCAAATTAGTTCAGCTTTGAGAATGAAACCAACCTGTGTGTTCCTCAGTTTCTTCATGTTTCACTCTGAACGTTTCTTCAATCTTCACGTCTTGACTCTCCTCTTTAATTAACGCCATCTTGAGGGGAAAAAAGTAAAAACACTCAAAACTAAATCTCTGAGAGTGTCTATCAGATCTAGTTTTAGTTCACTTGTGAAAGAGTCAGTCAGAGAGAGTTAATGGACTTAAATCACCTGCTTAAGACAAAAAATAGCATTATAACAGACAATTAATATTTAGTTCTGATTTCTACTTGGTATTTAATACCTTTTAAATTACATTTAATAGATAACACTCAGCAAAAGTTGTCATTACTTCTGTTTGTTGTTCTCTTCTCTGTATTTACACTGTTTGACCAGCAGGAGTCGTCAGTGTTTGAAGAAATTCGAGCACTTTGAACATGAATCATTTCGCAAAACATTTAAAAAATGTTGGTTCTTTCTCTCTAGCCTTCTTATCAGTGATCAACTTGTGTTTATAATGCACTGATTCACGATATAGGGATTGAAATGAGACGGATCTTTTCTGTTACTTGTGTGTGGATGCGCTTTATTTACCAAAAAAAACGTTCATTAAAGATAGATAAATCATTACAATGTTACATTCAATAGTACATATTTTACATCGCTTGTAAAAAAATAAAACAAAAAAGCAATTGAACCATTTAAACTATTTAAATGCTTAAAAAGACAAACCTTTCTTCAGCCGAATCTCAACAGATGCAGGAGCGCGACGCAGCATTATGACGTCACACCACCGCACCAAAATAAAAGTCCAGATAAAAGTCACGCTAAAATCACAGAAGTCCATAGATATTAACATACAAATTATGAACATATATTAATGGCGTCAAAGTTAAATTCTTGAGCTGAATTAAAAAACAGAGTTTGAGGGGTTTTTTTGTTAATGTTTTTTTTTTCTGGTGTTTTAGTAAGTTTGAGAACCCTCTGATATAAGGGTAATTTAACTGCAGCCACAACTATATTATTTCGTTTTATAATTTTGTATGCACCGTTATTTTGATGTTGATTGCTAACTAACAGGTATATTTCCTTGTGGAAAGCTGTTGCTGTTTTGTAAGGTTTGAGGAGATGTTGCTGTTTGCAGAGAAAGAGCCTAATAAAAATGAAAGCTTCACTGCTGTGACAACCACGATCTTGGTGTCCTCTTCATTCATCCATCACATTACAGTTTTTCTAAATTTTTTTACACACAAATTCTGGTAATTGACACAATTACCACAACATGTAACTCAATTGAACCAGCTAACCTACAAGCACAATTCTGCTTTACACTCAAATTGCAATTACAAATTCTCTGCATTTGGCATAATTTTCATGCAGAAAATCTCTTAATTTCACAAGGAACACTCTGCCATTCAGATATGCACAGTGACTCGCACGCGCATACAGCCGTCACAAAGTTTTACAATTACCAATCAGGGCCCGTATCCCTAAAGAATTTTTGTGCAAAAAGTGGCTCCTAGCGGCAAAATTCTAAGAAAATTCTCAGAGTCATGACGTTTTCTTAGAATTTCCCCTAAAAGTGACACGAAAATCCCAGTTAATATACAGTAGAAGCTATTCCTCAAAATTCCCAGCTCTTAAATGGGGCTCCTAAGGCGAGATCTGCTAAGAGCAGGGAAGAGGACTTTTAGTGGCTTAGGAGTTTTTTTTTCTCCTTTTTTTTCCTCCATTTTCTGTGTTTGTAGGATATTTGTTAACAAGCCTTCATAAATAGACCAGCCAGCAATCACAGACACTGATCAAAGCTGAGCCGTGTTAACCTCGTTAAGACCACACTGAGTTGTAACGTTGCAATTTCTACTTCATTAAGGACATTCCCTTGAGATAGGCCATCTTGTTTTCAATGGGGTCCATATGGGAGTGAAAGTACAAAACATGCCAGCTAGGATATTAATATGAGCAAATAAGACACAAATCATTACAGTATTTCTCAATCTCAATCAAATATCTCCAAACTCAGGTAACTGCTCTCAAAACAGTTAACACAGCAAACTAAACACACTCTTATGTTGGCGGAACAGCTAAGTATTCACTGCACAATGAAACACAGCATTTTATTCTAGTAATGCATTTATTAAAAATCAATATTAACATTAAAACTAAAAGTGTGTTCTCTGTTGATTTGATAAAAACTTCAGCTGAAGATACACAAAGAAATAAATGGAAATTCATGTTTTTCATTAAGTTCTTTACAGTTTTTCTAAATCGATTTGGTACATTTCTCCAAACTCAGGTCACTGCTCTCAAAACATTTAACACAGTGATCTGTACACTTCGTAATGGTCCTAAACAGATAGTAAATTCTCCTTCATTTCATACAAATTACAAATCAAAAGCATAATTTTCTCAAAACACTGTGCACAAAATTCCCTAATGTTATCACAGCAGTTCATACACCCAACCGAATCTTTAATATATCAGGAAAAACTTCTGCAACTTTTTCATTGGTCTTCACAAAGATCACAAACATTTTTGTACCATTTTCAAAACTCAACAAACAAAACTCTATGAATTGTAAAATAGTCAGTCGCACACCTTATGTCCTCAATTAACCCCGAATTGATATCTGGCGAGTTAATAATCCCCTCAACACAGAAAAAGCCAATTTCCCAATTGTTCACACAGCTGTCTTAATTATAACAACTAAAAAAGGGGAAGAGAAGAAGAACAAACATGAATGAGGAGAAAATACAATAAAAAGAAGGGAATGAGCAGTGGAAAAGGAAGAGGTGTAAGAGCGAGAGGTGGTGGACAAGGTAGAGGGAAAAGAAGAGGAAGAGGAGATGGAGAAGGAGCAAGAAGAGCTGAGGATGTCGGAGAAAGAAAAAGAAGAGCTGAGGATGTCAGAGAAAGAAGGGCTGAGGATGTAGGAGAAAGAAAAAGAAGAGCTGAGGATGTAGGAGAAAGAAAAGCTGAGGATGTAGAAGAAAGAAAAAGAAGAGCTGAGGATGTAGGCGAAAGAAAGCTGAGGATGTAGAAGAAAGAAAAAGAAGAGCTGAGGATGTAGAAGAAAGAAGAGCTGAGGATGTCGGAGAAAGAAGAGCTGAGGATGTAGGAGAAAGAAAAAGAAGAGCTGAGGATGTAGGAGAAAGAAAAGCTGAGGATGTAGAAGAAAGAAAAAGAAGAGCTGAGGATGTAGGAGAAAGAAGAGCTGAGGATGTAGAAGAAAGAAAAAGAAGAGCTGAGGATGTAGGAGAAAGAAAAAGAAGAGCTGAGGATGTAGGAGAAAGAAAAGCTGAGGATGTAGAAGAAAGAAAAAGAAGAGCTGAGGATGTAGGAGAAAGAAAAGCTGAGGATGTAGAAGAAAGAAAAAGAAGAGCTGAGGATGTAGGAGAAAGAAAAGCTGAGGATGTAGAAGAAAGAAGAGCTGAGGATGTAGGAGAAAGAAGAGCTGAGGATGTAGGAGAAAGAAGAGCTGAGGATGTAGGAGAAAGAAAAGAAGAGCTGAGGATGTAGGAGAAAGAAAAGCTGAGGATGTAGGAGAAAGAAGAGCTGAGGATGTAGGAGAAAGAAAAAGAAGAGCTGAGGATGTAGGAGAAAGAAAAGCTGAGGATGTAGGAGAAAGAAAAAGAAGAGCTGAGGATGTAGGAGAAAGAAAAGAAGAGCTGAGGATGTCGGAGAAAGAAGAGCTGAGGATGTATGAGAAAGAAAAAGAAGAGCTGAGGATGTAGGAGAAAGAAAAAGAAAAGCTGAGGATGTAGGAGAACGAAAAAGAAGAGCTGAGGATGTAGGAGAAAGAAAAAGAAGAGCTGAGGATGTAGGAGAAAGAAGAGCTGAGGATGTAGAAGAAAGAAGAGCTGAGGATGTAGGAGAAAGAAGAGCTGAGGATGTAGGAGAAAGAAGAGCTGAGGATGTAGGAGAAAGAAAAGCTGAGGATGTAGAAGAAAGAAGAGCTGAGGATGTAGGAGAAAGAAGAGCTGAGGATGTAGGAGAAAGAAAAGCTGAGGATGTAGGAGAAAGAAAAAGAAGAGCTGAGGATGTAGGAGAAAGAAGAGCTGAGGATGTAGGAGGAAGAAAAGAAGAGCTGAGGATGTAGGAGAAAGAAAAAGAAGAGCTGAGGATGTAGGAGAAAGAAAAAGAAGAGCTGAGGATGTAGGAGAAAGAAGAGCTGAGGATGTAGGAGAAAGAAGAGCTGAGGATGTAGGAGAAAGAAAAAGAGCTGAGGATGTAGGAGAAAGAAGAGCTGAGGATGTAGGAGAAAGAAAAAGAAGAGCTGAGGATGTAGGAGAAAGAAGAGCTGAGGATGTAGGAGAAAGAAGAGCTGAGGATGTAGGAGAAAGAAAAAGAGCTGAGGATGTAGGAGAAAGAAGAGCTGAGGATGTAGAAGAAAGAAGAGCTGAGGATGTAGGAGAAAGAAGAGCTGAGGATGTAGGAGAAAGAAGAGCTGAGGATGTAGAAGAAAGAAGAGCTGAGGATGTAGGAGAAAGAAGAGCTGAGGATGTAGAAGAAAGAAGAGCTGAGGATGTAGGAGAAAGAAGAGCTGAGGATGTAGAAGAAAGAAGAGCTGAGGATGTAGGAGAAAGAAGAGCTGAGGATGTAGGAGAAAGAAGAGCTGAGGATGTCGGAGAAAGAAGAGCTGAGGATGTAGGAGAAAGAAGAGCTGAGGATGTAGGAGAAAGAAAAAGAAGAGCTGAGGATGTAGGAGAAAGAAGAGCTGAGGATGTAGAAGAAAGAAGAGCTGAGGATGTAGAAGAAAGAAGAGCTGAGGATGTAGGAGAAAGAAGAGCTGAGGATGTAGGAGAAAGAAGAGCTGAGGATGTAGAAGAAAGAAGAGCTGAGGATGTAGGAGAAAGAAGAGCTGAGGATGTAGGAGAAAGAAGAGCTGAGGATGTCGGAGAAAGAAGAGCTGAGGATGTCAGAGAAAGAAGAGCTGAGGATGTAGGAGAAAGAAGAGCTGAGGATGTAGGAGAAAGAAGAGCTGAGGATGTAGGAGAAAGAAGAGCTGAGGATGTAGGAGAAAGAAAAAGAAGAGCTGAGGATGTAGGAGAAAGAAAAAGAAAAGCTGAGGATGTAGGAGAAAGAAAAAGAAGAGCTGAGGATGTAGGAGAAAGAAAAGCTGAGGATGTAGAAGAAAGAAAAAGAAGAGCTGAGGATGTAGGAGAAAGAAAAAGAAGAGCTGAGGATGTAGGAGAAAGAAAAAGAAGAGCTGAGGATGTAGGAGAAAGAAAAAGAAGAGCTGAGGATGTAGGAGAAAGAAAAAGAAAAGCTGAGGATGTCGGAGAAAGAAGAGCTGAGGATGTAGGAGAAAGAAAACGAAGAGCTGAGGATGTCGTAGAAAGAGAAAGAAGGGCTGAGGATGTAGGAAGAGGAGAAGAGGGAGAAATGTGATCGGCCATCATGCTACAGTCAATGTCCCTGGACAACGAGGAGGCAACATCACTCTCTGTGCCACAATTTCTACAACTGGTGTTATGGCACACAATGCTCTCTTTTGACCATTCAACACAGCAAGGCTCCTACATTTTTAAAATCTCCTCAATGAAATCCTCTTTCCGCAGGGTGATCAGGAGCAAATGGTGTGGTGTGAATCAGATTGAGGAAATCTTACCAACAAGAATACAACTAAGTCTTCTTCAAGTGATGGAAGAGGCCTGTGGAGATGTTGGGGCACAAACGTGTCTAGGATAGCTACTGCATTCAAGGCATTTTTTCCTGCGATGCATGACTCGCAGGAAAAAAAAAAAAACATTTGCTGTGATGTTGATGAAATTCTCTGGCCAGATGTAATTGAGAGGCATGATAAATAAATTGATTCAATGAATGGATTTTTTTTAAACCTATGTATTTCTTTGCATAATTTATTTTATTTATTTATTTATTTATTTATTTTGTGGGGTGACAACTCATTGTAATACACATGGACTCATCATTAAAGAACTTAATGAAAAACATGTATTTCCATTTATTTCTTTGTGTATCTTCAGCTGAATTTGTTATCAAATCAACAGAGAACACACTTTTAGTTTTGATGTTAATATTGATTTTTAATAAATGCATTACTAGAATAAAATGCTGTGTTTCATTGTGCAGTGAATACTTAGCTGTTTCGCCAACATAAGAGTGTGTTTAGTTTGCTGTGCTAACTGTTTTGAGAGCAGTTACCTGAGTTTGGAGAAATGTACCAAATCAATTGAGAAAAACTGTAATGATGAGTCCATGTGTATTACAATGAGCACAGAGAGTGATTTTGCCTCTTCGTTGTCCAGGGACATTGACTGTAGCACGATGGCCAATCACATTTCTCCCTCTTCTCCTCTTCCTACATCCTCAGCCCTCCTTTCTCTTTCTCGTTCATCCTCAGCCCTTCTTTCTCTGACATCCTCAGCTCTTCTTTTTCTTTCTCCGACATCCTCAGCTCTTCTTGCTCCTTCTCCATCTCCTCTTCCTCTTCTTTTCCCTCTACCTTGTCCACCACCTCTCGCTCTTACACCTCTTCCTTTTCCACTGCTCATTCCCTTCTTTTTATTGTATTTTCTCCTCATTCATGTTTGTTCTTCTTCTCTTCCCCTTTTTTAGTTGTTATAATTAAGACAGCTGTGTGAACAATTGGGAAATTGGCTTTTTCTGTGTTGAGGGGATTATTAACTCGTCAGATATCAATTTGGGGTTAATTGAGGACATAAGGTGTGCGACTGACTATTTTAGAATTCATTGAGTTTTGTTTGTTGTGTTTTGAAAATGGTACAAAAATGTTTGTGATCTTTGTGAAGACCAATGAAAAAGCTGCAAAAGTTTTTCCTGACATATTAAAGATTCGGTTGGGTGTATGAACTTGTGTGATTACATTAGGGAAATTTGTGCACGGTGTTTTGAGAAAATTATGCTTTTGATTTGTAATTTGTATGAAATGAAGGAGAATTTACTATCTGTTTAGGACAATTACGAAGTGTACAGATCACTGTGTTAAATGTTTTGAGAGCAGTGACCTGAGTTTGGAGAAATGTACCAAATCGATTGAGAAAAACTGTATTTGAACAGGGTGTGATGAGCTTAAGTTTTCACATATTTTAGATTCTAATATTAGGCTATAACCCCTACAGCTTACTATTAATTTTCTAGATATTTTCTTGAATGTGAAATATTATTTACAATTACAGTCTGTTTAAGATTAGAGTGTATAATTATGTTTATTGATTTGAGGGTACATCCTTTGCTCATTATCACCAAAAGTTCATTTTCATCAAACTTGCAGGATCAACCAATCACAGCTTTTGAAATGATGACTCATACCTAGCAACGGGGTCAACCACACCTCCTCACTAAGATAGGATTTTCCATCCATTCCTTGCTCAGAGTTCACTGAAAATGTTCTGGAATCACTTCTAAGCTAAAACTCCTGGCAAGGAATTTTTAGGTTAAAGGGTTAGTTCACCCAAAAATTAAGTCATTAATTACTCACCCCCATGCTGTACCAACCCCGTAAGACCTTCGTTCATCTTCGGAACACAAATTAAGATATTTTTGATTAAATTTGAGAGCTGGATCACTCCTCCATAGGCTTCCTAAGGGACTGGCTCTTGACGGCCCATAAAGTCATTAAAGAAAAGGTTTAAATATTCCATGTGCCTACAGCGGCTCAATTATAAGTTTATCAAGCAACGAGACTACTTTTTGTGCGAAAAAATAAATAAATGACGACTTTATTCGACTATTACATTACTTCCTTATGGGCCTTGAGACGAGAATTGAAGAGATTTCCAGAACGCATGCGCGAGAACTGAGACGAGGACATTCTTCTTCGACCACTTCTTGTTACGGCTGCTCACCGCTAGTATTACCGCCCCCTACCATATAAGATGACGTGCTGATATAGCTGGAAGCGCAAAACTTTCTGTTTACAAGCAGAGGAAGATGCGCGCTGTACATACGTGTTTCAATTACCGTATTTTCCGCACTATAAGGCACACTTAAAAGCCTTTAATCTTCTCAAATACGACAGTGCTGTGCGCCTTACAATCCGGAGCGCCTTATATGGATCATCACCTTATACGGTAGGTGGCGGTAATACTCCTAAGCGGAGCAGCCGGTAACAAGAAGTAGTCGAAGAAGAACGTCCTCGTCTCAGTTCTCGCGCATGCGTTCCGGAAATCTCTTCAATTTTCGCCTCAAGGCCCATAAGGAAGTAATGTAATAGTCGAATAAAGTCGTCATTTATTTATTTTTTCGCACAAAAAGTAGTCTCGTTGCTTGATAAACTTATAATTGAGCCGCTGTAGGCACATGGAATATTTAAACCTTTTCTTTAATGATTTTATGGGCCGTCAAGAGCCAGTCCCTTAGGAAGTCTATGTAGGACTGATCCGGCTCTCAGATTCAATCAAAAATATCTTCATTTGTGTTCCGAAGACGAACGAAGGTCTTACAGGGTTGGTACAGCATGGGGGTGAGTAATTAATGACTTAATTTTCATTTTTGGGTGAACTAACCCTTTAATTTAGGAGCTCTCTGAGAGGATTCTCAGAATCTTTAGGGATACGGGCCCAGAGCTTTAGCATAAAACATCGAAACAGAAGAGAGGATGCAGCATAGTTATTTATTTAGTTTCACTGTAACTGCATACAGTACATGTTTCTGTTGTTTTGTATGTAGACCACTGTGTGTGCAACTTTGTGTTGGTTGTGGTGTATGAAATATGCGATCTATCTCCTATTGTTTTTTGTGGGAAAAATAAAATATATTTGTTACCGTGTATTTGTGTGTTCTGGGTATAAAAACAATATTCTCAAATATTTTACAACACACTTATGAATGTACTGTCCGTAGTGAGTGTAACACTGAACAAAAAAGGCCTAAGTCATTATGATGAATAGAGAAGAAGTGTTTTCCATTTCATCGTAGCGTTTCACATCGAGCACATCAGTGTTCAACTGGTTCCTATAAATATCTATTCATATGATGGTTTGTCATTTGAAAAAAAAAACATTTTGAGAATATATATAACACTGTTATGAATGTAAAGTTTCATTTTGCACTAGAATTGAGGGGTTTTTCCGATTGTGTGTTTTTAAATTTGTGTGTAGAGTTCTGAGAGTATGAGGCATACTTGCAGGAAATGTGTGTGTAAACAATCGAGAAAAACTGTAATAGAAATTCTCCCTTTTATTGCTTCTTAAGATGAATTCCTCAACTGAAAGTCACTTTGGATAAAAGACAAATGAAAAATGTAAATGTAGAAAAAAGAGAATCGAATCAAGGAGCATAACGATAGTGAGGAGCGTCTTTATTTTCTGAGTTGACAGATTAAAACAGCATCCGTTGTCTCGTTCTCAGCATGATATAAATCCAAAATCCCTTTCAATATTTCACTCTCATCAAACAGGTTAAACACATTCAAATACAATAGATCCGTAACAAGTCCAGAACTGTATTTCATTGCATTTGTTTTCTGATACTGATCGCTACTGATGAAAAGCCAAACAACCAGCAGCTTACAACTTTTTCTAATAAAATGTATCCTTTTTATATGACATTTGCCTAATTAACACATGTACAGTATGTCTTTACACAGATATCCTAAAATGATAAGGTAGAGTCTAATTGCATGGAGTTTCTTCAGAATTATTGGAGTCACAGTCATTGTTTCTGGTCCAGATCAGTCTTTCCCACCTGCCTCACTCTTTCCAGAAGGGATCCGGTTTATATTCAGCTGTAGAAAGCGGACTTTGAAGGATGATGTCTATGGCCTAGGCAGCAAGGGACGCACAGAGCTGGCCGTATCGTTGAAGGAGAGCGGCACATAGTTGGAAACACGATCACCAGGGAAAGAAACAAGCTGGGCACCCTTACGATTGATGTGCTCGTACAGCACCCAGACGCCACCTCTCACTTTGTGGGACGAAGCTTTGTCATTGAAATCAATTTCGGTGAGATTGATTTCGCCGCGTAGGGTCACGCTTCTACCTTGATAGTTAATGTGTTCAAACAGCTGGATTTCAGGGTTGGAGAGGTCATTCGTGATCTTCTTGAGGGAGGAAAACTTGCCTTTGTCTTCAGAGACTCTCCTGGGGTACTCTCCTGCCTCAAACACCCGCTGCTTTCCAGCAAAATCCTTGTCATAATACCCCACCCATGGTTGACCAATGACTTTTAAGGAGGCGATGGTGTTGTTGAAACCATTCGCTTCTAAGTCACCGACATCATTGTTGAATTCAGCTGATCGGCCCCCGAAGCCCTCTAGGCTGTAAACAATGATCTTGCTCATTTTGAATGATGGCTCGAGGAGAGAGTGGCTGGAGAAGTGTTTCTGAAGCAGATTCCTGTGGTTCTGCTGGGAACAGTGACTTGCTTGGTGTGCAGAGCTGCCTTTTAAAGCACAAATACACCAAAGTGGGCGTTGACTAGATCATGACAGGACATGTGTGGAAGCTGAGAAACACCCCAAATCTCAAATTTCTGCTCAGTATCTACAGACGTAACCTAATACGGTTCAAAAGATAAGGTTCCAAACCTGACTGGAAAACAAAAACAAAAAAAGACTAGTGTGTTCACTTTGACGGGTGCTTAGTTCTCAGATATACAGTAAGTTGCAACTGATAAAGTCAGAATCTTAAATAATGTTAATTGACTCCATTCACTAGTTTCTTTCAGTTACCTGTATAAGATGCATCTTAACCGAGATGCAGAAATATCATGGAAACTTACCATCATGCAACCAGTTCTCCCTCCTAAAGCAACCCAGACAGCAAACTGACATTGAATCAACGTGGAAACGACGTCTCTCATGACATTGAAACAACATTGATTTGCTCATCGAATTAACGTTGAATCAACGTCAGACGCGGCATTCTTCAAAGCTAAATGAAAATCGAAAATTGGTTTGCTTTCATAACGTTGAAACAACGCGTTGATTTCAAGTTGATTTTCCGTTAGTTTTGAAAGAATGACGCATCTGACGTTGGTTCAACGTTAATTTCGATGAGCAAAACAATGTCAGATCAACGTTGTTTCGATGTCATATTTCCACGTTGATTCAATGTCAGTTTGCTATCTGGGAATCCAAGAGAGGAATTTTCTAACCCACACGGGCGGTAACTGACACGAAGGCTGTTTATTTTTTTAAGATCTGAAGTGAGTTTCTTAAAATACCTTTATAACTATAACTAGCTGGCTAAAATGAGTCCACACTTGTGTTTATTTGCAAGGAAAGGTGTGTTTAATATGGATCTCTGTACATTACATTGCGTGAGGAACAGAGTCCTATTCTTTCCGGTCTGTGAACAGCCTCATCAAACTCAAAGATGAATCTGAATATTAGCATGTGGCAATCGGCCGCGAGAGTCAATGCCTTTATAATGATGAAATAGAGGATTCTTCATTTGGCGATTTGTGAAGTATGTAAGATTGGAGCGTTACGGTGATCAGTTACGGGTTTGTTGCTTAAAGCAATCATCTGGCCTCGGAAGACTACTTTTTTTTTTATTGGGGGGGGGAATTAATTATTGTGACTTTACTTTTATCTGCCTGATATGTGCTTCATATTGAGAAATGGTTAGGTTATGTTAGGTTCGACCATGTTTTAGCATGATTTACCATGATACACCACATTTCAGTGTGGTTTTCATTATTTACCATGTTACAGTATGATTTAGCATAGTTTCATGCTTGAACACCTAATAAGAATGAGACCTTTTTGATGGAAATAGTGCCACCTATTATCCGATCTCCATGAAACTTTCCATATTTCCTGACCATGTTAGGACACATATGCTCACCAATTTCTGTGAAGTTCTGAGTTTTTATTTAGGATTTAGAGGCTTTTGAGTGCATTTTACCATGCCTCTTTTCTAAATAACCCTTTAATACCATGCGAAAAATAACTTTTTTTCTTGATAATTATTGATCTAGAGTGTCCAGAGAATTGTTCTAGGCTAGTCTGATTTTGATCGGACGAAAAATCAGGGACTAGTTTGCAAAAGTAGGTTTTCAACATATTCGTGAATATTTAATGAACGATTCGATTAACAGCAATGGTTCTAGAGGTAAAGCTGTTCAACATGAGTAGATCTATCATATGATATGCATTTTGGGGGGATGTGCAAAACACCACGTGATTACAGAGCAGTAAAACTCGTTAGTGGCGATTTAAAACTTGTGGCCGATTTCTTTACAAATTCTGACAGACCTCTTTGGCCACGAGTCGAACATGCCTATCAGGGCCGGACTGGGGCCAAAATTCGGCCCTAGCATTTGTGGTTTTCACTGGCCCAACTAATTGATAATGTTAAAAAAATCGTCCCCAGAATCTGAACATTTTTCCACTTAACGCTGTTTAACGGAAATCTTTTCTGTGTTGACACAAAACTAGTTGAATGTCCAAGCTGCCTGCCGGGATAATCACACAACGCGTACACATCCGATGACTGACACGTCCAATTCGCGAACTAATGACTTCTTACCTATTCATTTTAATGAATGGTTAAAACAACTGATATTTCCTTTTACTGTCTATGGATATTCCCAGTCCTTCAGTTACTGATCAGATTAGTCAGTGTAAATGGAGTAAAAAAAATAGGCAGAGTAAAACTATTTCATTTTTTCATTATTTTTCATCTATAAGTTTCGGGCCCTCACAGCACACACGAGCATGGCACAGCGGCCAAAAACACACGCACACATGAGCACGGCACAGCAGCCTGATGCACACAACACAACTGCTTAATAAAGAAAAAGCACCATGACAAACCACAATAGAATATATATGATAAAAAGAGGCATGACCTACCTTATTATATCAGCCACTATTGCTTTTCTCCGCTACACTTTCAATGATGCAATCCGTGTCCAAAGAAACCAGAGTCTCTTATTCGATTGCCATCAACATTAAGGCTTTAAGATGTTCCTGTGACGCTGTGCTCCTTAATCGATTCTTGATAAATTTTAACGTGGAAAAGCTTCGCTCACATGCAACTTGTGTCACAGACAGAGTTAACAGAAACTTGTATCCAAGTCCGATTAGATGGTAGGAGTCAGTGAGCAGGTTATACCTTTTGTAGGACATAATCTGCATCTGTCTCACACACATTTAATTCTCCATTGGCCCATTGCACAAATGCGTCTGTTGCTGTCTTTACCCCCTTAAAATCCCTTGCATATTTTTTCAGATTGTCTTGTGTGCTCGTGGCAAAGCGATGGGCCGTGAGCAAATCCATTCCGCTAGTTTGCAAATACATTGGCCGATGGCTGCCATGATTTTTGAGATACGCCAATGTCCTCATTCACATACATGATACCTTGGTCCAACACAATGCATACCAATTTTCAAGTCAATCGGACTAACGGTCAGGGCCGTATTCATAAAGAATGCAAAGGTAATTAATGCAAAAGGTAACTCCTAGTGAGAAAATTCTTAGAAATGTGAGCGTTTACTCTTAAAATGAAAGAAAAATCTTAGTAAAGAAAAATGTAATTCAGAAAGCATCTTAACACTTAAAAGAGGTCTTAAGTGTCATGATCCCGGAATTCTCTCCTGTTCTGTCTCCCTCTTGTGTTTTTTTTGGTTCCTTGATTTGTTCACGATCACACTGACACACCCACCATTCTCACACGCGCTCCCCTCATTCACACATACCTCGCTTACACCACGTACTACTACGCTCATTCATTCTCCGCCAGTTGTTGGCCATCAGTTCACTCATTACTCTATCTCTGTTTTCACCTGCTATTACTTTCTTCCTAATTAGCGTTCCTACATGTAGTTCTCTTTTTCCCCCCTTTCCTTTGCCAGATTATTGACTTTGATAACATGTGTTACAGAGCTTACCCGGTCGTATCTTGTCTTGACTTGTCCTGTCCCGTTAACGTATGTTTGCAACCTGCGGACTGCCTGTGCTGAAAATTACTGAGGTCTTTCTCTACCCAGCTTCTCTGTATCTGAGGACGACTGACGGTCCACAAGCCCTGATCTGTGTTTTGGGCTGCTTGATGCTGAGTATCGTTTGCGGGATCACTCCTCAGTTTGATTAAGTTTTCAAGAGACTTTCTGTTCTTCTGATTACCTGCTACAATAGACTTTCTGTTCCTCTGATTACCTGCTGCAAGAGACTTTCTGTTTGACTACTCTACGCTACTTGCATTGATTTCATTAAAAGTACTGATACCCGAAGATTGCACTTGGGTCCTTTTTCCCTGAACGTGTCCCTGACATTAAGGTTAGGAGTACGGATGAGGACTTTTAAGAGGCTTAAAATTTTCTTTAGCAGAGTAGAAAATGGCAGAAAGATGAAGAGGGACAAGAAATGTGTTGCAGACAATGGATGACAATGAGTTAATAAGACGCTAGATATTTAATAATTAATAAGATGTTTGTGACTGATCTTATTAGACACACTAATATCTCCAACAGCGCAGGAATGCCATAACGCCAGAAATTAAAGTATTCACTACATTAAGATATTTGGCAAATGGGAAACTGCATTAAAGCAGCCAACATGACATCATCATGACTTTTGCGTAAACATACACGCCACTTTCGAGTCAAGTGGCGTGTTATCTCTACGCATTTTGAGCTATCCGCGTGTATGCGTGTATGTCTACGCCATTAACGTCCGAGTGATTCCGCGTGTCTGTACACGCCATCAAATGTCCGAGCGAAACGTAGCAAAATGTAGATCTACATCTGGGGAGCGACCTTTTTTTTTTCCTAGAATGGTAAGGGAACAGTCATAAATGCCATTAACTCCAGTGACGGTTAGGTTTAGGGACAGGGTTGAGGTAAGTCATATATACAGTAATAACGTTAAGTCAACGGCGTTCATAAACACGCTGAAAAGCGATTATGCGTCTTGATAGCACGCCAAAAATGGAAATACGAATTGGCGTGTCATACACATGCTACTTCACGAGATCAGTCTGAAGCAGCAGTGATTTGGGTCTGTCACAACCTTCTGTAAGCAGCAGTGATCACACAAACAATTACAGCACTTTCAGAACCTCTTTCAGAACCCAGTTCATTTAGTTTCCACTGGACATTCCCACCTTGCAGGCTCAAAAAACTGCATTATGAATATAGCTGTCACGATACACACACACAGGAAACGTTAGATCCAAATGCAGTATATTTAATGGGAAATCCGTACTCACAAAACCAGTCCAGGCAAAGGGTCAAAATTCCAGAAAGGCAGTCCTAAACATAAAACAAACAAGAAGCAGACAGAATGCAGACACCCGAAGTGTGGTGACAATAAACAAGGAATCCACAATGAACACAGAAACAGACAGGGTATAAATAGTCAGATACAAATGATGTGAGTGGGAACAGCTG